TTAAAATATTCTGGAACTGTATTCAATTAATATAAAACAATGTATTATTGCTCACTATGTAGGGGGAGGGGAATCTTCCCACTCTGAGTCAGCGACAATTGTTTGAACATATGGTTTTGTTTAGATTTTTTTGTATTTTTACTCTCTCTCTCTCTCTCTCTCTCTCTCTCTCTCTCTCTCTCTCTCTCTCTCTCTCTCTCCATCCCCCTTTCTCTGCATGGATTTATCCTAAATATGTTTTTTTTGAAATATATAAATATACCCTTCATACATTTTTTTAAATATTTAAATTTCCGTACTGTGTAATTGTGTATTGACCTATGGAGAGAATGATCACAGGCCTTTTTTTCATTCTGGTTTGGAATTATTTTTAGTGTGTTTGACCCTCCTGGATCAAAATTTCTCGATCACGCCTATAGATATTAAACTTCATTTTTTTCCCGGGGGTGGGTACTATTTTTGTAAACCCATGCATGCTTTAAATCTTCCAGCCACTTTTCATCAAATTTATACAGTGTTATAATGTACGGAATTGAGCATCATCCGGTTACCTTTCTGATTAAATAAGCTTAAGAAGAGAAAAGTTACAAGGTATGACTAAATTTATCTTTTCATTCTCAACTCCAGAAAAAAATTGCATCCCCCTGTCAAAAGCATACACAATCCAATTCTTTGTACACTATATACAGATATATAACAGATCTTTTTTTAAATTGTGTTGAATTTCCTCTAATTTTTATTTTACACCCACATATGCACATTTAAGTGCATGTTATGTATTATCGGGATCGAAATTCCAAGTGTACTCTCTGTGAAACTCAAAACAAACAGGCTTGGTAACGGTGGTCAAAAAGAAAAGATCGAGAGATTTCAGCCTACAAAGTCAATGTATAATAGATCGAGTATAGAAATCTACAGATTCATGGTAGAAAGCAATATTTTATCGGCTACATGAATGGAGTAGTTGGTAATAAATTCTTTTTCTTTCGTTTTTCTATGGTAGACTAGTCTATACATATAATGAGGAAGTATAATTATATCAAATGAATTTGACATTGTCATATTTTTTCTTTTCTCTTTTTGATTTGACCATGATAATTTAACTTCTTTGGTACAGGTCCTGTTCAATGTTTTAGCTCACCTGAGCTGAAGGCTCAAATGGGCTATTCTGATCACCCTCCGTCCGCCCTCCGTCCATCCGTGGTACACCAGGGCCAGGAAAATCACTATATTTAGCTATATAACCAAATTTACCGATATAGCTTTATTTACCTACATAACGAAGCTTTATCTAGTTATTTCAGAGTAAATTTCTGTTTCATGAAAAACAGAAAAAAAAGTCGCACAATGAACTAGCATTTAGTTATCAACTTTGAAATGAAATGAAACAATATTCACCAAAAACACACTTTAAGAATGTTTCTCCTTTTGTGCAATATTGCAGTCAAAGATTTCAAAGTTTTAGGGCTATGAATAAAAGTTAATCTAAAATTAAGCAGCTGCTTTGACAAAGGAAAGCAGTTTTTGGTCAACAAGATAATTGATTGGTTATATTTCAGCACAATGCAAGGCAGTCACACTTAGTCATGCCTGATCGCACTTTCAGTGAGGGACAGCTATCCAAACAATAGAGTAGGGCTGGGCAAAAATATCGATTATTTCAATATATTGCAATACATTGACAAAAAATATCGTATCGCAATACAATTTTGTTATTTGATATATTGGCAATATGCTTAGATTAAGGAATTTTGTCTTTGGACTTATAAAAGACAGAATATGTTTTTTGGGAACATTTCAGAGCATAACTTATAATAAATGAAATCAACAAGATATATTTCCGTGTTGGTAACTTATCAAAGTTATGTACATTTTGCATGTAAATATAATAAGAAAATGTCATTTTCATAACAATGAAAATATTGCAATACATATTGCAATACGTTAAAAATATCACAATATATATCGCAATACGAAATCTTGGGCCAACACCCAGCCCTACAATAGAGATGCATTTTTGGGTTAAAAAGTGTTTAAAAGAGGCAATGATCTGATCACCCGGTGTCCGTCGTCCGTCCGTCCGTCTGTAAACTTTTCACATTTTCAACTTCTTCTCAAGAACCACTTGGTTAATTTCAACCAAACATTGTACAAAGCATCTTGGGTGAATGGGAATTTAAACTGTTAAAATTAAGGGCCAAGACCCCTTCCAAGGGGATATAATCAAGAAAATACAAAAATAGGGTGCGGTCAGTCTTTTATTATTAAAATTCACTTCTTGTGGACAATGTAATGTTTTTAGCTCACATGAGCCGAAGGATCAGGTGAGCTTTTCTGATCAAAATTTGTCCGTCATCGTCGTTGTCGTCGGCGTAAACTTTTCACATTTTCATCTTCTTCTCAAGAACCACTGGGCCAATTTCAACCAAACTTGGCACAAAGTATCCTTAGGAAATTAATGGCATTTTTAGCCCTTCTGAGCCAAAGGCTCAAAGAGCTAATGCTATGGCCATTTGTGCGGTGCGCGTTAACTTTTTAGCTCACCTGAGCTGAAAGCTCAAGTGAGCTTTTCTGATCACATTTTGTCCGGCGTCCGTCTGTCTGTCTGTCTGTCTGTCTGTCTGTAAACTTTAAACATTTTTGACTTCTTCTCAAGAACCGTTGGGCCAATTTCAACCAAACTTGCCACAAAGGATCCTTAGGTAAAGGGGATTCAGGTTTGTTCAAATGAAGGGCCACACCCTCATTCAAGGGAGATAATTGGGAATTAATGAAAATTTGGTGGCACATTTAAAAAATCTTCTCAAGAACCACTGTGCCAGGAAAGATGAAACTTATGGGGAAACATCCTCATGTAGTGTAGATTCCAGTTTGTTTAAATCATGACACCCGGGGGTAGGGAGGGGCCAAAATGGCTGACTAAAGTTTTACATAAAAATATATAGGAAAATTCTTTAAAAATCTTCTTCTCAAGATTTACAAAGCCATAATTCATCATATTTATATGGAAGCATGCTCAGGTAGTGTGGATTTAAGTTTGTTCAAATCATGACCCCCGGGAGTAGGGTGGGGCTAAAATTGCCGACCAAAGTTTTACATAGAAATATATAGGAAAATTCTTTAAAAATATTCTCTCAAGAATGACAAAGCCATAATTCATCATATTTATATGGAAGCATGCTCAGATAGTGTAGATTCAAGTTTGTTCAAATCATGATCCCGGGAGTAGGGTGGGGCCAAAATGGCCGACCAAAGTTTTACATAGAAATATATAGGAAAATTCTTTAAAGATCTTCTTCTCAAGAATGACAAAGCCATAATTCATCATATTGATATGGAAGCATTCTCAGGTAGTGTACATTCAATTTTTTTTCAAATCATGACCCAAAATGGCCGACTAAAGTTTTACATAGAAATATATAGGAAATTTCTTTAAAAATCATTTTCTAAAAAATAAAAAATCCGATTGGTCATGGGACTACCTTTGGATTTAAACTTTAGAATAAAAAGCATTTTCTACTTTTTCCTTCCCTTAGTGCTCAGGTGAGCGATGTGGCCCATGGGCCTCTTGTTAGAATATTGGCCATAACTCAAGAACCCTTTGGCCAATCAGTACCAATCTGCACAGGGTATCCTTGGCCCAAGGGCTACCAATTATACAAAAATAAGGGTTGGGACCCTAAAACAAGGGGAGATAATCAGGAAAACAAAACCAAAAGTACTAGTTGCTAAAAAATCTTCTTCTCCAGAACCGCCAAGCAGATTTTCACCAAACCTACATACAAGGATCAGGATATGTTGAAATTAAAAATTGTTCAAGGCATGACCCTGGGGCAAAGGGCGTGGCCTCAAGGTCACTTTGAAGTTGACCTAAATTTACAATTAATAAAAATGTTTATACTTTGCATACTATAAGGGCTAGTATCATGAAATCTTGTAAGTTGATGCATCTTAGGACTTCACATCATGTTAACTCAAAAGTAGGTCACGGTGACCTACTTTTTTAATTTTGCAGGCATTTGTATTCAAATTGATTTGAAGGCATATTTTGGACACTTTAAGGCCTATGATCATGAAACTTTGTCAGTTGATGCATCTTGGGTCCTTGAATAACATCAACTTTAAAGAAGGTTTCCTTACCAGTACAAAGCCTCTGCACTATCGAGACTCCTACAGTGCCTCCTCGTGGCAATGCATGGATACTGAGGGCATTCACTTCAGGCTGATCTGTAGGGGATCTCGGAGTATCAAGGACCCCAGAGATGCAGTGTGTAGGCCCATCGGCGTATGGATATGCCCTAGCACTCATTAACCTTGACCCAGCTATGGGAAAAATAGCTCTACTGCCTTGTAGATGACTTGGGAGAGCCAAAGGGTATGGGAGTAAACCCAGAAAGAAAATCCGGGGAGAAGGAACTCGTCAGCATTGGATTGCAATCATCTATGGGAAGGACAACCCAGAAAGAAAACCCGGCCCAACGGAGGTGAGGTTTGGCGTAGGGCTAACTACCCCACCCAGCAAAAAACAACTAGTTACAGAAACTTCAACAAATGTCCTAAATGAAAACTCTGTCTGCGAAGACTTGAGCCAAATCACAGGCAAAATGACATCTTCTATGAGATTGATTGATAGTCTTCTAAGGCCAAAGGACAAACTTCGTGTTGGAGCATGGAATGTTCGCACGATGTACGAAACATCAAAGACAGCACAAGTTGCGGATGAAATGCAGAGATACAAATTGGATATATTTGGAATAAGTGAATGCCGATGAATTAAATCAAGCAAGATTAAAATTACTAGTGGCCAGACCATATTGTACTCGGGGCACAATGACAAACATCAAAGTGGAGTTGCAATCATGATAAGCAAAGACAAGATCAAAACACTTCTTTAATGGGAACCAATTAGTGATAGACTAATAAGAGCAAGATTCAACTCCAAGTACTGTAAACTTACAATCATACAATGCTATGCACGGACAAATGATGCCGAAGAGGAAATGAAAGATGAATTTTATGAGCAGTTACAAATGGTTGTCTCAAAAGTTCCTCAGCATGACATGCTGCTAATAATGGGAGACCTTAATGCAAAAGTGGGCAATGACAACACTGACTGTGAGAAATCTATGGGAAAACATGGATGTGGAATTAAGAATGACAATGGAGAGCGCTTCATTGACTTCTGTCTCAATAACAACCAAACGATAGGAGGCACAATATTTCCTCACAAGGATATACAGAAGCTCACATGGAAATCTCCAGATGGTAGAACAACAAACCAGATTGACCACATAACTGTAAACAGCAAATGGCGCAAATCCCTACAAGATGTTAGAGTATGCCGTGGAGCAGATGTCAACAGTGACCACTATCTGCTGAAAGCTATTATAAAACTAAAACTTCGCAGAAATCCCAAAAAGCAGGAGACAAAAAGGAGGATTGATGTAGAAAAGTTAAAGATACCAGACACACGAAAAGCTTTCAATCTGAAATTGAAGAACAGATTCAAGGTCTTGGAAGAAAATATTGATGTTGTTGAAGATATCCAAGAAAGGTGGAACACGAACAAGAAAGTGTATATTGAAGCCGTTGAAAAAACAGTAGGCTACCAAACCAAGAATAACAAATAATGGCTAACACATGGTACATGGGAGAAAATAGGTGAAAGAAAGAACATAAAGCAGAAAATTACCAGCACTAAGTCTGCAAGATTACAAGAACAACTACAAGCTGCCTATAAAGAAAAGGATAAAGATGTCAAGAGAAGTGCAAGGAGGGATAGACGAATGTATGTTGACAGTCTGGCACAAGAAGCTGAACAAGCTGCTTCACATGGAGAAATGAGCACTGTCTACAAAATAACAAAAAAGCTATGTGGTCGCACTACAACCAAACCTGCACTTGTGAAAGATAAAGATGGTCACCCACTGGCAACAGAACATGAACAAGCCAACCGCTGGGTACAATATTTCCAGGAAGTACTTAATTGCCCAGAACCAGATAAACCAGCGAGCCCAGACCCTGCAGATAATGATTTAGACATTAACTTAGACCCACCAACCCTTGAAGAAGTCCAAAACTGTATTAAAGCATTAAAAAATGGTAAATCTCCAGGAAATGACTGCATACATGCTGAAATGCTGAAATCAGATATTGCAACATCATCAAAAACGCTATTAGATCTATTCGTACATATCTGGGAAAATGAAACAATACCACATGACTGGAGTAAAGGACTCATTGTAAAGCTGCCAAAAAAGGGAGACCTCCAAATTTGTGACAACTGGAGAGGCATAACACTGCTCTCAGTCCCCAGCAAGGTGTTCTGTAAAATACTGTTACACAGAATAGACAAAGTGATTGAAAAGAAACTGCGAGAGGAACAAGCCGGGTTTAGAAGAGGAAGAGGGTGTATAGACCAAATTTTTGCCATCCGTAACATTATAGAACAGTGTATTGAATGGCAAATGCCACTGTATATCAATTTCATTGATTTTAAGAAAGCTTTCGACAGTGTGCACAGGGAAACACTTTGGAAAATAGCAAGAGCATATGGAATACCAGCAAAGATATGCAACATTATGAAAACATTTTACTCAAACTTCGAGTGTAGTGTCATCCTGGAAAATGGAACATCAGACTCCTTCAGTGTAAAATCTGGAGTACGGCAAGGATGCATACTATCACCAATTCTCTTCCTTATGGTCATTGATTGGATCCAAAGAAACACCACACATGACAAAAAGAGGGGTATCCAATGGACAATGTTCAGTCACCTAGAAGACCTGGACTTTGCAGACGATCTGGCAGAAGTATCAGGGAACATCACCCACTTACAAGAAAAGACTGATAGATTAAACTCTTTTGCCAAACAAACTGGGCTTAACATCAGTGCCAAGAAGACCAAGGTCATGACAATCAATGCACCAGTAGAACCTGTCTCATTAAATGGAGAGGCACTTGAGGAAGTTGAGGACTTCACCTACCTTGGCAGTATCGGACCCTAAGTAAGGACAACGGCGCTGGGAAAGATATAAAATCGCGTCTCAGTAAATCACGGACAGCATTTGCCCAACTTCAGCCCATCTGGGAGTCAAACAACTACAGTCTGAGAACCAAACTACAACTTTACAACAGCAATGTCAAATCAGTTCTCCTGTACGGGTCTGAATGCTGGCGTGTTGTTGACAGCGACATGAGGAAAGTAGAGGCATTCCACAACAACTGTCTCCGAAAAATCCACCGTATCTTCTGGCTAAACAAGATCTCCAACATAGACCTGCACAAGAAAAGCAAAAGCAGGAGTATAACAACAGAAATTAAACAAAGAAGAATGAGATGGTTGGGTCACGTAATGAGAATGCCCCAGAGCAGAATACCTAAAACAGCATTACATTGGACACCACCTGGAAAGAGAAAACGAGGTAGACCACGAACAACATGGAGAAGAACTATAACATCAGAGTTAGAGGAAATGGGTTACTCGTGGGGGCAGGCACAGTATGTGGCAAAAGATAGAGGAAGATGGAGGCAGCTTGTTGAAGCCTTATGTCCCATCGGGGACGAAGAGGATAAGTAAGTAAGTTAAAGAAGGTCACCGTGACCTACTTTTTGAACTTTATGACTTAACCTTTTTAAAACATTTAATCCCATTATTTCAGGCACTGAATGGGTTAGAATCATCAAATCTAGTAAGTTGCTGCATCTTGGGACCTTTAAACATATTTAAGAAAAATTAGGTCACTGTGACTTACTTTTAGAATTTTGCAGGCATATGTTTTCAAATTGTTTAAAAGGCATTTTTAGGTCACCTGAGTAACTCAGGTGACCTATTGCTATCCGTTTTCGTCCGTCGTCGTGTGTCGTGCGTCGTGTGTTAACATTTGAACATTTTCAGCTTCTTCTCTGAAACCACTTAACCAATTTCAACCAAATTTGGTATACAGCATTTATGGGTGAAGGGGAACAAAAATTTTGAATTTCATCGTCCCTGTCCCCCTGGGGCCTGGGGGGTGGGGCAAAAACCACTTAAATTATTGCAATCTTTAAAAATCTTCTTCTTTACTCCTGGACATCAAGCAGGCAAACTGTTATCATGAATGTAATGAGCATTGAGACCTCAACATAAATTGTGAAATTCATGGCCCCAGGGTCAGGGGTTCTAGTGCTAGGGCGGGGCTATATAGATTATATAGTGAAAATGCATGATTTCTTTGAAAATCTTCTTCCCTGCTCCTAGGTATTAAATAAACTAACCAAGCACATAGTTATGATGAGCAAGAGTGCCTCTTCCAAAATTGTGAATATTATGACCCCAGGGTCAGGGGTTCTGGTGTTAGGGCGGGGCTCTATTGGTTATATAGTGAAAATGCATTTATTCTTTGAAAATCTTCTTCTCTACTTCTGGGTATTAGATAAACTAACTAAGTACCTAGTTATGATGAGCAAGAGTGCCTCTTCAAAAATTGTGAATTTTGTGGCCCCAGGGTCAGGGGTTCTGGTGTTAGGGTGGGGCCCTATTGATTATATAGTGAAAATACATTTATTCTTTGGAAATCGTCTTCTCTGCTCCTGGGTATTAAATAAACTAACCAAGCACATAGTTATGATGAGCAAGAGTGCCTCTTCAAAAATTGTGAATTTTGTGACCCCAGGGTCAGGGGTTTTGGTGTTAGGTGGGGGGGCTCTATTGATCATATAGTGAAAACGCATAAATTCTTTGAAAGTCTTCTTCTCTGCTTCTGGGTATTAAATAAACTATGTAATTAAATAGCTATGTTGATCAAGAGTGCCTCTTTCAAAATTGTGAATTTTGTGACCCCAGGGTCAGGGGTTTTGATGTTAGGGCGGGGCTCTATTGGTTATATAGTGAAAATGCATTTATTATTTGAAATTCTTTCTTCTGCTCCTGTGTTTTTGCCTATGATCCAAATATATATATTCATGATGAAGAAAGGTGCACCTAGCAAAATGGTTATTTTTTATGCCCCCGCCCCTTCCCTGGGTCGGGGTGAGGGGGGGTACAAAGTCTGAAAATAAATTAATGCTTTGAAATTTGCTCTTTGGTGTTAATCAACCATTTTATGATAAAATTTGCAAAATTTTGAAATATGTGGCCCCAGGATCAGTGGTTCCTTTGGGATGAGGTGGAGAACTGGTTATAAAGTGGAAGTGCATTTTCTCTTAATGTTACTCTGATCTACCTCTGGGTATTAAGTAAATAGAGTAAGCATGCTTAGTCTAAATTATTATAAGCAATGGAACCTATTTCAAATTGTGAATTGCGAATTCTATTGCCTCTGGTTTAAAACATGAACCAAAGAATCAGGGTCAGTAAGCATATGTGAGCTGCCCAATATTTTTAAAATATTTTTATACCAGTGTTATCGTTAAGTTGGTTTATTTTTCATATAACGAGATGTCCAGTTTGATGGAAATAGCAATGAAATTTTCAACATTTGATTCGTAGTTGAGTTATCACCATGTGAAGTTGGGCGATTTTTCCGGAATTGAGAAATTTCCATCAAATTCTCACATTCCAAACAAGATTTAGATATGGCCGCACGCAAACAACAGAGTAAAAAATTAATAGATTGTTAAAAATGGCACAATAAATTATATCCCAAAATATCATTCTGTTGCTTGCATGCGGCCACACTGAAAAATATATAAAACGATGTTTTTCGAGGCCGATTTTGATCGCTTCCGGTTTCGGTTTTTATATTCAGACGTAAACAAAGTTGGAGGAAACAGAAAATGTGACAGTAGATTTATCGAAGTTCTAACCATTTAACAGGTAGGGATGAATTGAAGATCAGAGTAATTGTAATTTTACATGCACTGTTGAAAATTAAATCCCCTCCTATACTTATTAATGATAGAAGATTCGACATGACAGACTCCTAGTCCTAACTCCATGAACTGGGGGGGGGGGGGGACGGTAATCTTCACATGCATGTCAAACAGTTGAAAATAGAAAATGTGTATATAAAATACATCAAACAGGAACACAACATGCTATCTTCTACTAGACTTGCTTCGGATGCTGAATCTGACCTACATTTTCCGGTTGAGTGAACAGGTTAAAGTTTTTGGTGATGGTTTCATTTTGAAGATACTTTGAGCACTATAATGACCAAACTTGCATGGATGGTACGTCTTAGGATGTATTCTACTAGACTTGCTTCGGATGCTGAATTTGACCTACATTTTCCGGTTGAGTGAACAGGTTAAAGTTTTTGGTGCAGGTTTCATTTCCAAGTTACTATGAGACATATAATGACCATACTTACATGGATGATACATCTTAGGATGCATACTACCAGCCTTGCTTCGGATGCTGAATCTGACCTACATTTTCCGGTTGAGTGAACAGGTTAAAGTTTTTGTTGAAGGTTTCATTTTGAAGATACGTTGAGCCCTATAATGACCAAACTTGCATGGATGGTACATCTTAGGATGTAATCTACTAGACTTGCTTCGGATGCTGAATTTGACCTACATTTTCCGGTTGCGTGAACAGGTTAAAGTTTTTGGTGCAGGTTTCATTTCCAAGCTACTATGAGACATATAATGACCAACTTGCATGGATGGTACATCTTAGGATGCATATTACAAGACCTGCTTCAGA